AAAATGGCCAAACCGCCCGAGACATCCCAACAAAATCCCGCGAACGGGGCCAAGTGAAATACCTCCCGCCGCTCCCGTTAGGAGTGCTGAAACCAGCGAATCGCCTGAGACAGCCTCCAAATCTGCTCCGAAAGCGAAACATGCTGGAAAAGAACATGGCCAAACCGCCTGGGACATCCCCACAAAATCCCGCGAAAGGGGCCGAGGGCAATACCCACCCCCCGCTCCCCTTTAGAGTGCTGAAACCAGCGAATCGCCTGAGACATCCTCCAAATCTGCCCCGACAGCGAAACATGTTGGAAGAGCAAATTGCCAAACCGCCTGAGACATCCCCACACAAATCCGCGAAAGGGGCCGAGGGATATACCCTCCCCGCCGCCCCCCTTTAAGTGCTCAAACCAACGGATCGCCTGAGACATCCTCGCAAACTGCTCCGAAAACGAAACATGCTGGAAGAGAAATGGCCAAACCGCCTGAGACATCCCCACAAACATTCGCGAAAGGGGCCGAAGGAAATACCCCCCCGGCGCTCCCCGTAGGAGTGCTGAAGCCACAGAATCGCCAGAGAGATCCTCAACATCAGTGTGTGTGTGTGAGTCATCCGATGAGTGGACCTGAGCGAGTGTAGTGAATGTATGAATACAAGTACGAGTGAGTCTGAGTGATGAGTGAGTCTGAGTGATGAGTGAGTCTGAGTGATGAGTGAGTCTGAGTGAGGAGTGATGGGCCTGAGTCCGAATGATGAGTGGGTCTGAGTGATGAGTAAGTCTGAGTGGTGAGTGGGTATGAGTAATGAGTGAGTCTGCGTGACTGACCGAGTCTGAGTGATGAGGGAGTCTGGGTGATGACTGAGTCTGAGTGGGGCTGAGTGAGAGGATGTGAGGTGGTGTTATGTTCTCTCTCTGTTCCCCCGGCGCGGCCCGTCAATAATTACTCGACGCGGGGCTCCCCATATGTGCATCTCATTATTTTGGTACGTCTTTCTCTTGATCTCTGTCAATGAGCGCCTGCGTGCGAGGGCGAACCGCTCGCTCGAGACATCCCCAAAGTCTGCAAGCATGAGTGCGACCAATCGCAAATCTGAGAGCGACTGATTCTGAGTGTGAATTAATCTGGGTGCGATTGAGCCGGGGTTTGAGTGGGTACGCGTGTGAGTAAATATGAGCGCGAGTGCGTCTGTGTGCGAGTGGGTCTGAGTATGGACGAATCTGAGTGTAGGCGAGTTTGTGATTGAGCGGATCGTAGCATGATGGGCCTGAGCATGAGTGAGTCTGGGCTTGGGTGGGTCTGAGTGTGAGAAAAAGTGTGTTAATGAATCTGAGTGCGAGTGAGCCGAGTGTGATTGGGTATGGATGCGAGGCAGTCTGAGTGTGAGTCGGTCTGCGTTTGAGCGGACCGAAGGATGATGAGTCTGAGCAGGAACGAGTCTGAGTATGAGTGGTTCTGAGCGTGAGTCTGAGTGTTAGTAAGTTTAAGTATGGATATGAGCGAGTCTAAGTGCGAGTGAGCCTGCGTGTGACTGGATCTGAGTATGAGTGAGTATGAATGCCGAAGAGTGAAGGAGAGCGGAAAGCGAAGGAGAGTGAGGCGGAAGCGTTTGAGTAAAACCTATAAAGCTTTGGGACATCGAGCCTCGATCGTCTGGCCCTGGCTACTCGAGTTGCCCACGTCCTCCTCCTCCTCCTCCTCCTCCTCAGCATCATCATGATCATCATCATCACCATCATCATCCTCCCCTTCCTGCTTATGTTCCTACCGTGTTCATGCTGTCCTCCTTCTCCTCCTCCTCCGCCTCCTCTTCCTCCTCCTCCTCGCTTCCTCCTTCTCTTCCTCATCCTCCTCCTCCTCCTCTTCCTCCTCCTCCTCCTCCTCCTCCTCCTCCTTGGGGGTGTTGAAACGAGCAAATCGCCTGAGACATCCTCCCGCAACTGCTCCGAAAACGACGGATGCCCAGCATCATAACGGCCAAACCGCCTGAGACATCCCCGCAAACTGGGCGCGAACGTCTTCCAAAGCTGCTCCGAAACCGACACATGCTGGAAGAGAAAATGGCCAAACCGCCTGACACATCCCCACAAAATCCCGCGAAAGGGGCCGAGGGAAATACCCCCCCGCCGCTCCCCTTAGAGTGCTGAAACCAGCGAATCGCCTGAGACATCCTCCAAATCTGCTCCGAAAGCGAACCATGTTGGAGGAGAAAAATGCAAAACCGCCTGAGACATCCCCACAAAATCCCGCGAAAGGGTCCGAGGGAAATACCCCCTCGCCGTTCCCTTTAGGAGTGCTGCAACCAGCGAATCGCCTGAGACATCCTCGCAAATTGCTCCGACAGCGAAACATGTTGGAAGAGAAAATTGCCAAACCGCCTGAGACATCCCCACAACAATCCGCGAAAGGGGCCGAGGGAAATACCCCCCCGGCGCTCCCCGTAGGAGTGCTGAAGCCACAGAATCGCCAGAGAGATCCTCAACATCAGTGTGTGTGAGTCATCCGATGAGTCGACCTGAGTGAATGTAGTGAATCTATGAGTACAAGTACGAGTGAGTCTGAGTGATGAGTGAGTCTGAGTGATGAGTGAGTCTGAGTGATGAGTGAGTCGGAGAGATGAGTCTGAGTCATGCCTGAGTCCGAGTGATGAGTGAGTCTGAGTGATGAGTGAGTCTGAATGGTGAGTGGGTCTGAGTGATGAGTGAGTCTGAGTGATGAGTGAGTCTGAGTGATGAGTGAGTCGGAGAGATGAGTGAGTCTGAGTGGGTCTGAGTGAGAGGAGTGGTGTGTTCTCGTCTGTGTTCTCCTCTGGCTCGGTCCACCAATAACAAGAACCCCATACTTAGGATATGGGGAACAAGAACCCTATACTTCGGATATGGGGAATAACAAAAACCCCATACTTAGGATATGGGGAATAACAAGAACCCCATCTTAGGATATGGGGAACAACACCCAAGAGGCCCCCGACAGGGTTAGCCTGCCTCGGCCTTGCGTTTCGACCCGACCGTTCTCTGTTTAGCCGCATGAGCCTTGCAATCCGCTGCCGCCACGCGCTGATTTATCAGGGGTGGGGTCCCCAGGGGGGGGGGCTCCGACTTGGCCGCGGTTGGCTTCGGCGCCGCAAGCTTGAGAGCTTCGACTGCTGCCTGTTGCCCAAATATGCTTGCATCGAGCTGCTTGAGAAGAACGGCCGGAGGGGCTGGAGCTGGCGGGGAGCCATCCGCCGTTTCCGTAGCTGCTCTGATGCGGTGGCGGCTCCAGCGCAACCTGGGCCAACCCGCTCCACTTTACCCAACCGTCCTCACCGGCTTACGGACGAGATCAAACCCTTGGAGGGTGCGGACAACCCACAGGACCACAGCCAACTAGAGGAGGTGGCCACATGTGTGGCAAACAAAACGTGTATTAAAGACCGGCGGTACGGACGGACGCAAGACCCTGGGAGGCCGGAGTTGGATTTTTGTTGGCAGGGAGCGACCGCTGAAAACGACAAAGGACACAAAGGTACCTTAGATGAAGGCGCGCGTCCCTACTAGGCGCGTTGACTGTATGTGTGCCACTTGATCACCCACCTGTACTGAAACGAGACGCATGTGGTATAGCTTTGGCCACACTTCGCCCTTTGAGGTGTACTCAGTTTTGTTGCGTTTGTCCGAGACAGTTTGAGCTGGCCGCGAAGCGGAGGCATCCGTTTGGTCAACGGGGAAGCCCCAGGACGCCTCCAAGAGACCCCCAAGATGCCCTAAAGAGGCAGCTAAAGAGGTCCCCGAAAGGTTCCCCAAGAGACCTCAAGAGTCCTCTAAGAATTCTCTGCTCCAAGACCAAGGCTGGTCCGAAAGAAATGCAGCATATTAACTAGGATAGTAAATCTCATCTACGGCAGTGGTGACGGAAGAGTTTCTTTTGACCAAAGTGGTGGCGGGAAGGACCATCTAGGAGGAGGGAGGAGAGACCGCAGCAGGAGGCAAGAGCGCGGCAGCTCGGCGGAGGGGTTCCTCGCCTCGGCTGCGGCAGCTGCAGGAAGCTCGCGCACCTTTCACTCCCCGCAGGTCCTCATTCATCCTCGCCCAACCCCATTGCTCGCCCAATCATTATGTTATTCCTCCTCCTCCTCCTCCTCTTTCTCACGCGAGGGGGCCGAATAGGAGGAGGGGGGGAGGCGTCTGAAAAGGAGGCAGTTTCTTAGAAGGCGCCGACCCTACATCTACAGACAACGTCCGCGCCTTCTACGAAAACAGGGGGGTGTGGCCCGTAAGAATTCGTGCCCACGGGCTCCAGGAGGCTGGCGGTGTCAGGCCTGGTGAGGGGGCTTGGGCTGATCTTCGCAGGGTGGGTGGCCCTTGAGGACCCATGCCCAGAGGCTCAGTCAAGCGTGGAGAGGGGAATCCGGGGGTGTTACTTGCTGGGTGGGTGGCGCCCAAGAATCATACCCACGGGCTCCAGGAGGCTGGCGGTGTCAGGCGTGGTGGGGGGGGCCCGGGAGGACTTTTGCAGGTCGGGTGGCCCCGAAGAACCCATGTCCAGAGGCTCTGGGGGTGTCAGGCGTGGTGGTGGGGGTCCCAGGGCGATGTTTGCAAGGAGGGTGGGCCTTGCGAGCCCGTGCCCACACGCTGGAGGAATCTGGCGGTGTCAGGCGTGGTGGAAGGTCCCGAGACGATTTTTGCAGGGTGGTGAATGGCCCCTGAAAGCCCATGCTCACAGGCTCCAGGAGGCTGGTGGTGCCAGGTGTGTGCAGTGTCGCCCAGAAGGGAGGAGGCGAGGCAGGCCCTCCAACGGGCAAGCGAGAGCCCCGGAGATGGCCGCGTGATCCGCTCGAGTGCCGGCGGCTCCAGCGAATGGAGGGGGAAGAGAGGGAGGGAGGGAGGGGCGGAGGGACGAATGCTCTCTAACTGACGAGCGATCGCCCAGGACGTGGCCGCGCCTTTCGCTCGGGCACCGACGGATCCAGCCAGCTAGGGGATAGAGGGAAAGAGGGTGCGAAGGAGGGAGGGAGGAAGGAACGAGGAAGCTATTGGGGAGCGCTCAAGGAGACAAGCAATCAATCTTCGCTCGCTCTGGTGCGCTGGCGCGGCGACAACTTCTGAAATTGCCGTCCGGCTGCAAAACGGGACCGCCGCAAGCTGGTGGAACGCGCCGAAAGAATGCGCCGACTTCCTCGTCACCATGTCCTACACAGTGCGCGCAGCATCAAGCGAGGCAATCGCCAAGAGAGTCACAACAGCACTGCAAGCAAGACACTAAAGGCGACTTCAACAGCAGTGGATCATACCCCCAAAAACCGTCCAGGATCTGGGGAGGGGGGGAGGAGACAAACGAAACTGACCATGCGGATCATGACCGCTTCGCCGTGTCTGCACTTGAAAAACCTGAGGGGCAGTGATCAAGAAGGGGAGGGTGTTTTTTGTTGCCTGCCCCCTCGGGGGCGCCAGGCCCTGCGGAGGTGCTTGCTGGACTGCAGCGTTGCTGGTGTCTCTGGGTTTCACTCTCATCCTGTCTCGCGGGTATGTTATTTGCTTATCCAGCCATGCCTCCTTTCTGTTGTCTAGGGGACCCGCGGCGCTCAAGAAAACCACAGGGGCGGTCCCCTAGTTTGCCCCAGAACTCCCACAGGGACGCCACCAGACGGCCCGAATTGGCCAAGAGGCATCTAAGACAGCCCCGAATAGGCTCCGAAGAGGACCTCAAGCTACCAAGTTTCCCGAAGATGGCCCCAACACGCCCCTACCATGGTTCACGATGGCCCCAAGACGCCCGAGAGAGCAACAAGCCATGCTAAAAGCACTGTGCTTCGAATGCGTGTTGCCTGTCCAACGTTTTGCTCCGAGGCTCAAGCAAGTCCAAAGGGCCCTAAAACGCTCCCAATTGGCCTACAATCGGCCCCCAATGGACCACAGATACCCCTGAGGTCGCCCGGGATGACCTGATGGGTGAGACCAGGTCCGAGGATGCGCTCGAATCCTCTCTGCCTCTGTTTGCCGCCAGGCCTCGAGAAAATCCACCTGTCGTCGCCGGCTTAGGCCGAAGGGCCGCCGAATTCCAAAGATGATGCCGAAACTGCCCCAGGTGGCCACCAAGACGGCTCACGATGGCTCCCAGACAGCCCAGGAGCTCCCAAGGATGGCGCCACATGGCCCCAACAACGGCCCAAGAGGCCCCCTAGACGCCCCCTTTCTGGCCCTCCACCATCAGGGGCCCGAAGAGCCCCTCAAGAGGCAAACATCGATTTTAGAAAAACCGTTGTTGCTTATGATCTTAGCAGGCTAACCGTTCCGATATCATGTCAAGGTGTCCACGACGCTCCCAGAGACCCCTACGATCGCCCCCAAATCGCCCAAACGGGGCCCAAGATGGCTCCAAACCGCTCCAACAGGGCCGTAGGAGGGGCTCAAGAGGGCCAAGGAAAGCTCCGAGACAACTCCAAGAAGATCCGCACACCACACCCCCAGGGCGGACCCGTGAGACCCTCCAGACAACCTGGAGTGGCCCAAGACGGCCGCAGAAGCCCCAAGACAGCCCCCCCAAGAAGGCCGAGAAGATCCCCCAAAGGAAAACACAGTAGATTGCCCTCCTGTGTTTCCGAAGTTCGCTCGCAAGGTCCCATAGCCTGCCAAGCCTTCGGCCCGACGCACCACGTGTGGCCGTACGGGCAGATCCACACAAGGGCAGGGGGAGACGGTGGTTCGCTGGAGGCGCCTCCGATCAGTATGCATCAGCGACGGCGCGGACGCGAAGCCCCGTGGTCAAACACCGACGAGGGCGCGCAGATGTGAGGGGAAACGTCGGGGGGGGGCTGGCTTAGGGGGGGGACATCGGACTTGGAATCGGCGATAGGCCCCTGATGCACGCTGCTGGGCGAGGTGGGCACATCGAGCTTCTACCACCAATGAGTGGGCGATTTGGGGGCCGATGCGTCCCCCCTACCCTGAAATACGACGTCGCGAGCAAAAACTCAGAGGACGTGAGAAATCACGACTGAACTATCTTGCTGCTGTATTTTCAAGCCAGAACGATATGTGGGGGTCCCGAGGCCCAAAACTGGACGAAAACGCCCACGGCGACAAAAATCGCAACGCCAGGATCTCAGAGTAAGCCTACGGTGGGAATGTATGCTTAGCGTGTCGCCTCGGCGCTCCCAGCGACACGCCATTCCTTGCTTGCGAGCGGATAGCGAGTCGCTTCGCTTCGCGGGGTGAGAGGCTGGGAAAATCTCGACACGTGGACGCTTTGGGACCGCGAAGAGGATAGCGCGTCGCATTGGAAGGTGGTGGGCCAGGAGCAGTGGAGCGACACGCGAATCCAAGAAATAAGCAATAACGGCGTCGACAGAAACGCTTGGAGGTCGGCGCAGATTTCTTGGACCTGCGCCGAACCCCCATGGCGCACGGAGCGCGACTGGGGCGGCGCCGGAGGCGCCGTCAGGGGGGCCCCGGCGCCGACCCAGGGCGGCGCCAGAGGCGCCGCCAGGGGGCCGCAGCGCCGATCCGAGAAGTCCGCGCGGACCTCCTAGTTTTTTGACGAACGAACAACACACACCCATACCCATAGGGGGGTCGTTGGGAGGAGGACTGGCTGTGGGTATGGGTGCGGGTTGTCGGACCCTGGGGAACGCTCCCGTTCGAGCGAGGACCCCCATCCGACAACACGCACCCATAGCCCTCTCCGATCCCCCTATGGGTATGGGTGTGTGTTGTTGGTTCGTCATTGTTTGGTTTATATCATTGGTCGTTCCCCTAGGATCGGCCCCCCCTGACGCTGCCACTGATGGCACCGTCACTGCCAGGACACCTTCAGCGTGGAGGCGCGCTCCTCCGGGGTCCGACGCCTCTGTCCCGCTGCGGCGTCGGGATCGGCGGATCGGCGCGACAACCTGCACTCGTGGGTGGGCTCCTGCCCGCCGCGGGAAGGAGGAGGAGGGAGGAGGGAGGAGGGAGGAGGAGGAAGTGGAAGTATGAGGAAGGGGGAGGAGCAGAGCAAAGAGGAGGGTGGATGGAGGGAGGCCGTAGCCATTTGGGCTCATGGCTGAAACCCAAAGTCGTGAGCTCTTTGACCTCAGGTCACCGCTATGTGCGACAACCATCGAGGGAGCGCCCAGACGCATCCGTTCCAGAGTCCAGCTTCAGTGCTGGACCATCCATGTGCCTTCCACGTCTCAGGCAGCCGTCTGCCTGCTCCTCTGTTGTTTCTCTTCGCCATGGCATGCACAGCAGCCATGGACGGAGGAACGTTGGGGGACATACGGTATACACTTATGACTGTTGGAAGTGCACCATGTGCGGGTGTGGGCAGAAGCCCCAGCATTGGACATGGTGCAAACACTGTCGGACCGAAAAAGCAGAAACCAATGCACCTCCCTGGCGACCAGGAAACCGCTGGAACCGTGCCGACACAGGTGTGGCCCAAGTGTCCGTTCAGGACCTCCAGACGCTTGTCGTCATCGCGACGCAGATGGGGGACAGTGACACAGCAGCCAAGTATAAGGACCAGATCGCCAACCAGCATCGGGAAGGCAAACCAGTGCACAAGCGAGAAGCAGAAGAACAGCGCAAGGCAGCCAACGCAGAGCGCAATCTCGCACAAGTCACCGAGACGCCGGCAAACCAGATGCTGGCACACCTCACCACCGCCGAGCACGAGCAGAAAGAAGCAGATCCTCACGGAGGAGTGCCAGTGCACAGTTGGAAACTTCCCCAAAGGAGGAGACGGCTGAGGCAAAGGCTCCCCTCTAGGCTATCCTAGACGGCTCAGCTGGCGAGCTGTCTTTCGAAGAGTGCGGGCTCTTCGATGTTTGGGAGGACTACGAGTTAGAAACAGCCGACTAAGAAGAAATCACGAAGCGCAAGAAGGAGCTTGCCACCCACCCACATGCACCCCCCCGCCCAGAAGCTCTTTTTTTCTCCGAGGCCACGCAGAAGTGCGAGGTCACCAGGGCAGCCCATGGGGAGCAGAAGAAACGCAAGCCGAGAAGAGGCGTGCTGGCAGTAAGCCTCACCCTCCTCCTCCTACTCCTCCAGATTCTGCTGCTGATAGCCATAAGCCACCTGTACCATGACCGGCTGCCCAAGATGCACCCGTGGAGCCACCTGGACCTCAGCCAGCCTCAGGCTCCCAGAGCCCAAAGTTCGTCCCGCCCGTACGGGAAAGGGCCGCCGAGGTCCTCGCAGGCACCGGGAAAGGAGCTGGCAAGGCAGGGGGAAAAGGAAACCATGGGTACCGTTCAGCAGGCCGACAAGGCCAAGCGAGCCAAGTTGGATGATTCGTTTGACCACTTCTACTGCATCCCAGAGCTGAGCACTGCGCAAGGCCCAGGGAATCATACAACGTACATTCGCAGCCAGATCCACGACCGCAGCGGGCTTCCAGGTCCCCCCGCAACCTCAGAAGGACCAGGACCCCAATATCCATGCCCGCAATGCTCTCTGGCTTGGGGCGAGGAGACAAGCATTACTCCCCTATTTCCAGATGGGTTGGATGGGCACAACCTCGACAACCTAGACGTTGGGGGAGCCCGTGCAATTGCCTCAGGCGCCGTCTCACACTCACCTCTCCCGAGAACCCTGCACCCTGGCGGGCAGCAGCAGCTTGGGGCAACGTGGAGGAGAGGCAGAGAGCAGATCGAGAAGTAGTAGCACCACCAGCCCTGGGACAAGCAACCGCTTCATTGCCTCAGTGGATTGAGATTTTAATCTTGCCAGGGCTGGGTCAAGCGTTCCCCCCCCCCCCGCATAATTTTCTCAAACGGAGGATGTGGTATCGCCACAGCTGGAACAGACGTTGGAAACACCCGCAAAATTGCCACAACCTCCATAGACGGAAGAGTGAAACGTTTTGACCACATCGAGCAAGAGGACGATGAGCCACGCTGTGGGAGTCCAGGTGACGACTCAAACCACATGGGTAGTGCCAGCACCTCGGGACGGGCGCCTACTGAGCCCTTCCCCGGGTCGGTCGCCAAATCTTGCCAACTCGGGGAGTGCTTGCACCTCGAGGAGGGTGCTGACTGAGCTCTCCCCAAATCGGTCGCCCGGGTTAGCCACTGGGGTTGCTGGGACGCCGGGGAAGTGACTAGTGAGCCGTCCCAAGGCCAGTCGAAGACTTTTGCTAGGACAGGCCTGGATATGGAGCCCTCCGCTCAGGCATCCCAGAGCCACAGCACGGCAAGCAGCGCGAAAAATACCACGGCAGCCCAGCACGATGGCACACGCCGCCACGAACACGCCATAAGCGCAGGATTGAAGGCGTCAAATTCTCTTCGCCGAATGCGCGACGTGGACGGCGCCCAGACAGGAGCACCTCTGGACCATGCGCGAGGACCGGGACATCCACAACCAGTTGGGGACCGAAGCGCGTCTGCGGGGAACATGTGGCAGGTAGAAGGGCGCCAGGCCCTCGGCACCAGTAGGGGGCAGGCTTGGGCATGGTGGAGCCTGGGTGCTCTTCTCCGCCCGGCTGAGCCTCGCCCCCTTCCGGCTTCGTCGCGGGGAAGTGTCCGATAGAACGCGCGGACAAGGGCGTTGGGCTGCTCGGCAACCTCGGATCCATGTGACCACCATGCCCCCACACCACTCGACCTTGAGGGGGAGCGGCTGGCAGGATCTCACGCGCAAGTGCTCAAAGGAAATGCAGTCGAAGGCCCTCGCCACTTTTTCACAGCAACATATTGGAACATGGAAATCGAACAGGTTAGAGTCAGGCATCGAGGAGCACGTGGGGGTCGCTTTCGCCATCCCGAAAAAAAAGGACCCAGCGTCAGGTCGGTAAGCGGGTGATCGTCTACCTCTTGGTATCCCGGTCTCGCTCTCTCTCTCTCTCTCTCTCTCTCTCTCTCTCTCTCTCTCTCTCGCACCCCGAGGAGCGGCCACAGTCGGTCGGACCGACCGCGGACGCCCGAACGCGCACGCGAGGCCGCGCAGCCCTCACGGCTGTAGGCCTGGCATCAGGTCGGCCCGCCCCAGCAGGCCGCAGGCGGCCGCGCGCATGCACGCGGCCGAGCAGGACCTGGGCCCCAGCGACGCTGCGCCCAGGAGGCGGCCGCGCGCCAGGCGCGCAGCCGAGGGGCCCGCAGGGCCAGCGGGCTGCCCGCCAGCGCCAGCAGCCCCGAGCTCACCCGAGCGGCCGCCACGTGTACGGGTCCTTCCCACTCAGCAAGCGGCCCAAGTAGAGCCTCTTCTTCTTCTCGCCAGCCGTGGCCTGCGGCCCGGGCGGCAGGCGGCCGCCGCACTCCGCCTTCAGGCCATTGGCCCGATCCACGCCCTTCAGCTGCGCGAAGGCCCCGCACTTGCAGCAGAAGGCATACTGGCCCGCCGTGCGCATGCCGTGCCCCAAGTGCACCTCTGCGAGCTGCACCTCCCCGCGTGGCGGGCGGGGGCCCCCCGCCCGCTCGGGGCTCCTCGAGCGCTGGGGCCCTCGGGCATTCACACTCAACCCCTGCCCGCCGCCGCCGCGCTCGCTGGGCCCAGCAGCCGCTGCTGGCTGCGGCGGCGGTGCCTGGCCCGCAGCGGCCGCAGGCGGGGGCGGAGGCAGCCCAGACGGCGCCGCCTCTGGGTGCGGCCAGTCGTCCTCTCCGTCGCTGTCGCCGCCCAGGGCCCCTAGCCCGCCCTGCATCGCGTTCGCCATCGGCAGCTACTGGTTGAGCCAAGTGCCTGGCCACGGCCGCCGCAGCGCTTCAATCCCTCGGCCGCGGAGGCCCAGGGGCCGCGGCAGGCCGGCTTGGCGGGGCGGCTGCTCGCTGGAGCCAGCAGGGCCCAGGCCAGGCAGGGCACCAGCGAAGCCAGGCAGTGCGGGCAGGCTGGCCCCCGCCTCGCCGATGACGTCCTCCATGGCGCAGCATGCGTCGTCCAGTGTGGCCCACTGCAGGGCCGCCACGTGCAGCCAGTCCTCTAGGGTCTCAAGGCTCATCAGGTGTCCAACTGCGATGCGCCGCACGTCCACTTTCAAGAGCCGCGCTTGCCTGACCATCGCCTGGACCAGCGCTCGCAAGCCTATGGAGCCTGCACGCATCGCAGTCGCCGCCCTCGTGTCCTCATTGTCGGGCCTGGCCAGCCAGGCGAGGGCGTACTGCGCCGCCCAGGCCATCCAGGGGTCCTCCGCGGCCTCCGAGTCGCGCAGGTCGAACGCCCAGCAGCCCGCAAAGGCCCTCAGCATGCTGCGGAGCACCTCCAGGCCGATCGCCGCGTCGGGGTCGGGGCTGCTGTTGCGCTCGCCCTCGGTGTGGCCCGCGGGCTGGCCCCGCGCGTGCGGAGAGCGGGACCCGCTGGCCGACCGCCTCGCACTGCGCCTGCGCCGCTGGGCGTGGGCGGCGCGCGGGTCCACTGGCCGCTGTGGGCCCTCCGCGTCGCCTCTTGGCCGCGGCAGCGCAGGCCTCTGCGGCTCGGCTCGGCCTCCCGCGGGGCCCTGCGACTGGCTGGCACGGCCGCTCGCCCGAGACCTCGAACGCCCTCGCCGCTGGGCCGCACCACTCCGCCGCCAGCCGCCACTCCCACCTCCATATGCTCCGCCCACGGGCTCGAAGAAGGTGAAGTAGAGAGGCCCACGTCTGCCCCAAGCGCGCTGTGCGTTACCACGATCACACAGGAAGGCGCGCGCCGCAGTGTGGTATCCCCTCAGCCGCTGGAGCTTGGCCTGTCTGGCCTCGCCCTCCAGCTGGAGTGTCTCGTCGATGTGGGCCTCCCTGAAAGGCCCGCCGTCACGCCAGCCTCTCTCGCAGAACTCCTCGGCCCGCCTCAGCCGCTCCGCATTGCGCATCTCGTCGCTGTTGTGCGCAAAGAACCCGCGATAGACCTCCTCGCCCAGCAGCCTGTACACGTACTCTACACATTCCTCCATCCAGGATGCGTAGGCCAGGCTCTGGTCCATCAGGTCGACGATCCAAGAGCTAGCAAGCATGCCCA